ATATAGGGATCCCGGGAATTGAACTGTTAAAGAATATAGTTTTCAGAAAAGCCGGGATCGTATTTAAACATAAAGGGATCCCGGGAATTGACCAGTTCAAGAATATAGTTTTCAGAAAAGCCGGGATCGTATTTAAACATAAAGGGATCCCGGGAATTTACCAGTTCAAGAATATAGTTTTCAGAAAACCCGGGATCGTATTAAAATATTTAAAGATCCCGGGAATTGGCCAGTTCAAGAATATAGTTTTCAGAAAAGCTTGGATCGTATTAAAACATATAGGGATCCCGGGATTTGACCAATTCAAGAATATAGTCTTTATTTTTCCAATTAATCAGGCATATAATTATAAGTATTGTGATTTCCGCATTTTAAGTTTGTTAATAATTAGCTCTAAATATATTAATATCCTAAGTTAAATTAATATACCGTTCATTACATACAAGTCCTCCATTTCTAAGAAAAACAATTTTGATGCAAAGCCGTAACGTAGTTTTGCAAAGAATTATGTTGATTTGATCTCAAAGACCTTTTTTAAACTTCACAGTAGTCTGTTAAACAGCAACGGTTGGTGTCATGTATTATTAGAACTGAAGAAAGAATTGATGCAGAAATCCAAGGGATCTGTTACCTGCTAAATGCTATCACTAGGAGGCACAACGTATCTGAAAAAATAAATAAAATTAAGGAAAATATTAAGGCTTCTTTATCATTACATGTTGTATATGTATTGTGAAATATTCATTATCATTAGTATCAGTTGCTATCTTTATTTTTATGGCGGCAATGGACATTTTTTATGTTTCTTTCATGACGTAAACTTATAGTTATACTAGTTATATAAATCTATATAGCAAAGTGTAAAATTTAAGCACTTGTACAATGTACAAATGAGAATTAGGTATTATTCATCTTTGTCCGTTAAATACCAATTCTATATAAATGCTTTGACATATTTAAATACATACAAAGAGTATTACTCTTTCTAAAGGATCTGACCTTCCTGACTTCTATTATACCATTTATTTTGGACATGCAAATCAAGAAAATTTAGTTTCTTCTGCGACATACACTTTTCATTCTTTGGCCTAGGTTCATTAATTTGCGAAAAATATATAATTTAAAGCAATCACATAATAAAGAAATCGCTATCTCCAGATTATCATGATAATATCATTTCAGAATAACACCTGATCATCAGCCTTGTAGGCGTCTACAAAAATAATGTTTCTGTTCACTTTTTAAGATTGTACGGCAATCCTTAAGCTCCATGGGGCACCAAGCGAAAAAAAAAAAACCCGAAATTACGAAAAAATTACTTCTTTCGAAGACTGATACGAATATAAGACAACATGGTTTTATAGCCCAAATAAGCAACCATACTAAACATATATTAATCAATGATGATTATTTAAAGTATAACGATTGATTCTAGAATTATATTTTGAATTATTAGTTTAAAGATAAATTGATCACCACGAATTTTCATTTAATTTCTGGCAGATTTAGAGGTAGTTTTAAGAAACGTGTCTGATGGATAATAATGAGCGATTCAAAGGTCACATTCTATAGAAAGCAGTTTTCGTAGGTGCATTTAAATTGTGTTGTTGATATGGCTGATGTTTATGACAATCAATGAACACATTTGATTAACCACTAGATTAATATACCTTCATACTGTACATTAGGTTAAGACTTTCATAAAGGGTGTATCGGATATTTTGCAGTGTCAGGACCTGATACCTGTTCACGACCAGCAACAAGCAGATATTGAAGAATACGACTGACGTATCCGTCCGATTGTTAGAATTTCCACATCTTTAAACGCTTTGCTGGAAATCTAGACTTGAGGTAAAAGACGAGGTTTTGCATTCGTTTTATTTGGTGATATTTTCAGTTATTTCTGTTTATCAAATCATCTTAAATATTTATGGTTTTACAAAGCTGTACAAAACGTGTTTTTACGTGTTTTCACGTTATTATGAAATAATAATTAATGACAATGCTCAATTCGTTCTTATTATAGTTGACCTCTATAGAACTGAATGTGCACAAGTATTAATACATTAGAATGCGTATCATATATCGCATCAATTTCAAAGTTATAACATGTATTGCAAGTAATTCGCGTTTTTAAATTATTGAATGAAAGTATCCTTAAAATTACAGGATGATTGTCAATAACGCAGGAGTTGTAAACATACTTAAATTTGAGAAATTAAAAAATCATTTAAGTCAGTGCATTTCATTTTGTTTCCTTCTTTATTATCGTGAAATGATAATAAACGTTCATGATAATTATATTTTATTATATAAGTTCAAGCAGATTTACGTTTACATTTCTGTATTAACTATAGTCTTATTGCACGTTGTGGCTAAATGAAATTGTTCAATAGAAAATTGCTTCTTATAATTTTTAATACAGTGTACAAGCTTGTTGATATTTGTTAAATATGAGTTTCACGATAAATATCATAAACAGTCGTACTGTGCACTTTGAGTATAATGTATTAATCACAATTCATTTATAAGTTTACGTTTGCATATATTAATTAATTAATAAAAGTATGGACCAACTGGTAACATATCAGGTTTCTTAAATATGTCTGCTCAGTAAAATATGATATTTATCATAATAAAATTGGCAATACATACAATTATATCTCTTGAACTGTAAATTTTTCCAGCTCTTTGAATGTTCATGAATCATAAATGTTAAAAGGTGTGATAAAATAAAAGTGCTATATCCTATTTCATCTCATTTCCATTAAGTTGATATTTTCTATTTGATCACTGACATTGAAAGACTAATCGCTCGCCCTCTGCAAAAAATGACGCTATTCAACTTATGTGACATTTAAACATTTTATTAGAACAAACACTTAAAAGCAGCAGGGATTAATGCCCGCCATTTTGATTATTTTTAAACAGACATAATATATTAAACTTTGGTTCTTAAGATGTAAAACTACTTACATTATAAACAATCTTTATAATGAACAGTATTTATATTACTTCAATACTTCCATTCTTTACGATAAAAGAGTACAAAAAAGCATAGATTCAAGAACTCCTTATTGTTATATTAATGCACAAAAAAGGAAATAAATTAACTGTTAAGAATAGTCCTCGATATTCAGAATCTTTACTTGATAAGTTATTCTTTTATTTGTTCAATTTGGTATTACAAGAAGTTTAATTGACTTTAAAAAAAGTTTTACTGTCATAAAGAATTTTATAAATAAATTTGAATTTGTTAATTGTTGCTTTACAGCACAAATAAGGTTCAACTTAGACCATTCATGAAAATGAAACCTTATTAAGACTATATAAATAAATATTAAGACTAAATAGATAAAATATTTTGAATGAAAAATATCCTGATTATTCTTTTCCCATACCTAATTTGAGCTTGAAACATCCAATTAAGTTTAAATATATGACTTTAATAGACGCTAACATGCTTTTATAATTTCCTCATGATTTGATAGTTATGATAGGGTTTTTTACCATCGTGTCTCTAAAAAAAGGATCGAACAAAGACTGTGAGTTAATTTCAATCGCAAAAAAACTTCAAAAATTTAAATGTTGTAGACTAGATTTTATTGAGACCGTTGTGTGGCCTGATTAATTCATGCAAGCTCCTATCCACACCTTCCCCTTCTCCATAATTGGCTTTGCAGGAATTTGTCTCCCATAATGTTTAGAAGAAATATTGTTTTTGCCTCGCCGTAACTCTGTCCGTCTGTATGTTCTTCCGTCACATAACCTGTCTGGACTACCCCTCAAAAACAAATGGTGCAATTTCATCAAAACTTTACAGGAATTATCAGAACCAAGTACAATTGTGCATATTGTCGGCATTGTCCTGTCAAATGATTTTGTCAGAGTTAAGGCTCTTTCATGAATTTCATTCTAAAGTTTGTCTAGACTACTCCTCTTATACCACTTATACAATTTCAAAGAAACCTAACAGGATTGATCTGTTTCTCAAGAACTTGTGCTTATTACACAAAGTTTTACGGTTAAAAAGATTTTTGGCCGAAGTATGGCCCTTCAAGCTACACAGAAGTTTGTCGTGACTACTCCTTAGAAACTACTGGTGCATTTTAATCTAAACTTAACACAAATGATCAATACTTGTCGTATTATCCATATTATAGGCTTTTCTTGCTTCAATGATTTTAGTCAATGAGTTCTGACCCTTTAATGGTTTTATTTTCTAAAGATTGTCCGGACTACTCGTTTAATACCACTGATGCAATTTCAATGCAAATTTATAGGATTGATTTATAACTCAAACGCTTGCAGAAAATACAAGGGTTTCTCGCTGGAAGGATTTTTTGGCCGAGTCATGGCCCTTGAATAAAAAGAGATAATAACATTTGTCCGGATTACTCCTCTTATACCAATAACACAATTACAGTGAAACTTTATATTTGGTCGATCTGTATGTATCTCAAATAATTTTTTTTTAATATAACATGGGTTTTCCGGTTGAATAATTATGGCCGAGTTATTATGTATTGTGTCGCATTATGTATACAATCATTCCTTTTTCTTTTTGCATTCTGCTTGCATTATTCTGGAGTTTTTTTATCATTTGCTTTTCTTTTCAAACTAGTTCCTGCTCTTTTTTATAACTCTTAATATATATATATATATAAGATTTTGAAAAACCAACTTTTTATTACAGACATGCTTACTACACAAAGTTAGCTCCATGATGTATTATTGACACTTAATTATTTGTTATATTAATAAGTAGAATTAGACAAAAAAACTATCAATTTTCCTTATGTCTAAATTGCTTGACACTGCCATATTTTGAGGTGTCTTAATCATAATACTGAGCAATGGAAAATAATACTAACAAGCTTTCATCATTTGATTTGATGCATTCGGTGAGGGACTTGTTTGTACCTCTTGAGTAATAAACGTTTTGTAATTAGAAATACAAATGATTTTGAATGCCAATAATCTTATTTTTTTAGAAAAAAAAATGGGAGTTGATATTCAAACATACAGAGCAAGAATTGGCACATACAAGCATTCTCGATGTTGTAAAACTATTGAAAAATACAGACACTCCATGGGTAGTGATGTGGCAGTTCTTGTAACGAACATAAGCAGTGACATTTCAACTGTTGGCTGTGTGTTCTTCATTGGCGTTCTTTTAATGATTGCTGGTGTTGAACCTAATCCAGGTCCAACAGAAAAGGGTAATTATTTGCACGCACGCACACACACACACACGCACACACCAAAACACGCGAATGCGTGCAGAAACGCGCACACACGCACGTACGACCACACACACACACACACACAGACACAAACACATACAAAAGAAACAAGCAAGCCCGGATGCGGACTATTGCAAACTTTTGATATGTTATAATAAAATATTTTTTTATATAGAGGTTTCATTTGCTATTAGTTATTGGCTAGGAACTATAAGAGTTTTTAAAATATATTCTATGCAAAGGTATCCTATATCAAACAAAGTTTGAAATATAAATGATTTCGATTGAACTTTTAGAAGTAATAAATTTTCTGCACTACGCATATGTGTATCATGTTAACTTTGCTCTTACACTTTTTTCTATTGTGTGTATTTGTATTTTCAAGAATTCCTCAAAAAAGGAAATTAAATAAGGTGTAAATATCACATTATGCTGAATAGACATTTTAATCGTCATATATTTATATGTATTCTATCATGCACTTTGAATCTGACAATTACTATGGCGATGAGGTATCTGGAGTTATAAAATAAGGCGCAATATAGAGTATTGATGACATCTTTATACATTTAAATTTCAAGAGATAAATGAATGTTAACGTATAATTAATATAATGCTAATATAATTATAAAACATAACACATTTTCATACAGTTTATTCTATTTTAACTGACCTTAACACAACGTCGTTATGTCCAATAATTGTGATCCCACTCGACCTGTCGACGTGCATTATACGTCGTCAACGCTTTTTTAACACAAGTGTAACCTTGACCTTTGAACTGGAAACCTATGCGCGACATAGCATCGTCATGTCTTACAATTTAATTCCAAATTATTTTATAATCCATTCAGGAATAACAGAATTGTACCGGATACAACCCCCAATGCACTTTAATGAAAAAGTCAGATCATGACTTTACAATACACCATCATCTGACCTCAGACTTTGATTCTAATGGTCAATAGTCTCTAACAGCTCAGTTAAAAAGTATGTTGGCTCAGTAGTCCCACCTGCAAGGGAAACTGGTTTTCATTGATAAGATATCAAGAAAAGTCGGTTAGGTCGACCAAATTTTGAGATATGGTATTTAACAAATGTGTTAAATTAAACAGACAAAAGTTGATCCAATGTCAACACCTACAATAAGACGAAACTCTTCAGATGTATTGTATCATCATGTTTACACCGATGTCATCACTGAAGAGAAAAGTATATCTCTTGAATTGAAATTGTTGGTCCTGTTGACCCAATATTGACATCTATAGCTGAAGTATTTAAGAAGTTGCCCTCTTTAATTGTAATGTTTTATAATGTTGACCCAATGTTGACATCAATTAGGCCTGCTGTACAGTATGTGGGCCAATTTTTCAAAAATACATACAATGCAGACTTCTTTTTTATGTTTTGACAAAGCACTTACTATAAAGCAAATGTGCCTAAAAGTTTTTTATGAAAGTGCCGTAGGGTTCCTCTTTCCTAATATAGGAGGGGCTGTTTCGGCCTGTATTAGCACGGAAACAAATAAGACAATTTACTAAGGATGAAAGAAAACGCAACACAGCTACTTCGTGGCGCAAACCAATGGAAGTGTATTCAATGTGCAAAATACAAAATGCAACACGCATGTTATTTCAATAATTGAATGAATACATTACGAGTAATAAATAACAACAAAAATTTCCTGTAATGGCACGGAAACAAATACACCAATTTACTAAGGATGAAAAAAACGCATCACAGCTACCTAGTGGCACAAACCAATGGAAGTGTATTCAATAGGCACATGCGTGCCTTCCAATCCGGGTGAGTAAATGTTAGGAGGCCCGTCCAGAAGAAATCTGTTGTTATGAATTATACAGAATGACATTAAGTGTTACATTTTGCAGTGAATGAAAAGGATGAATGAAAATGAGAAAAATATGGGAAAATGAATAGGATAAATATACAGGACATGTACATATATAACAAAATGACAAACGTACAGGGAATATATAACGACACAATATATAAGACATACATACAAACAATAAATTATACATGTCGGTATATTACCCTCATTACATACCTCCCCACTTCGGGAAATGTCGTCCCGACATGTAAATAATTTATGAAATTAACGTTAAGTAAAGCTAAAGAAATAACAGAAGTGCTTTAAAATTTACAATCCAAATATACTATGAAATGAAATTAACTCAATATGTAATAAAGGCAGCACTTCAAATTATTATTGAGTACATAAGGGCTCTTGCCGAACTGTTAGGCATCAAACAAAGCTGCCCGAAGACTGTACACATGATTAAACCACATGTTTAATCAAAATTGAGGATAAGATAATACTGTAAAGTATTTATATTTGAATTATAGGCGTGCACTCTAATATAATTCAAATAAACACATCTATATATAAGAGATAAAAGAGTACATTAGTACCCACTAGTACATCATAAGTACATTTGTACTAAAATGTTTCTTTTCAAATTGTTCACCTTATGAACAAAACTTAATGGGGAACAAAAGTAAATAAAATGTTGGATAAATATTTGAAATATTTGCTTTATTTAAGATTTCTACAAATATAGAAAACTCAATTCTGATAAAAGTAAACATATGTCTATATTTAAAACAAAATTGTCAAATTCATGAATATGTCACAACTGATATACTATAAACAGTATTAAGAACCAGTTGAATTGCCATACACTATTCCTCATCCATGCCGACTGGGCTCTATTTCTTCTTTGTCTCTTAAGTGGTTCATCAGACAGACATGCCAGCTGCTTTTGCTTATCAGTACTATTCTGGTCCGACACTTTCCCATCAGTTTTTGACTGATTATTCCGACGTGCTGGTACAATATTTTTACTTGATGAGTCTGAAATAAAAGGATCATCATTTACTTGAACATAATTATCAGTATTAGGGATGGTTGGTGTAAAAGTATCAGGATGATTATCAGGACATAGATCAGAAGATGTACCTGAATCCCTCTTATAATCAACTGAGATTTCAGGGATTTGTTATCGGAATACCTGTCAATGAGAGTAAGAGATTCCTGTGAAGGAGTCTATGTTTTTTCTTACTATGCTCCCGTTTGACTTCAAATATAAGAATATCGGACGTAGGTTGACTGTCCACCACATAAACATTTTCCCCATCTATCAGCCAACTTTGCTTTACCCCTTGTTCCAACATTCCGAACAAGAACCCAATTTCAACATTGGTCTCCCTGACCCGCAGATCATACCATTTCTTATGTCTTTTACGTTGTTCACGAGCTTCACGACTAGCTGCCTTATAAGCAAAGTTAAGTCTGCTACGTAATCCAGATACATATATGGACTTATCTGTCGGCTTAGAACGATTAGGTTCGAAACCTAAAAATGCGTCGATTGCCAGCCGAGGATGACGTCTTAACATTAAGAATAGTGTGTATAACCTGTGCTTGAATGTGGCGTTTAATTATACGCATGAAGAAGTACAGGGACATTAGCTCTTTAATTGGACTTTCTGTCCTCTTCTAGAGTGCCTAGCATGTTCATCAACGTTTCGTTAAAACGGTCAGGCATTCCGTTCCCTGCGGGTGATACGGTATTTCTAGTCTTTCATATATGTGCAATATTACACAGTTCAAGAATAACTTCTTTTTCAAAATTTCTACCCTAATCACTATGAAAACGACTTGGAAATCCATAATGACAAATTTAATTTTCAAAAAGAAGTTTTGCAGTGGTATGAGCCGTTTGATTTTTAGCTTGTATTGCTTGTGCGAAACGAGTGAAGTGATCGGTTATTATCAAAATATTTTCAAAGCCTCCTTTTGACATTTCTAGTGACAAAAATCCATACAAACCAAATCCATAGGATAACTAGAATGAATAGGTACAAGTTTGGCAGAAGTCTTATCCAAAGTCTTTGACAAATACAACGAGGGCAATGACAAATAAGATGTTCTATAGATTGTTCCAAGTGAGGCCATAAGAATCTTGATCTGATAAGGGCAACAGTACGTGCACAGCCTTGATGACCGGCTTCATCATGAAGACCTGTAAAAACCACATCCTGAAAATGATCTGGACAACAGGGTACCCATAAGATGTGACTTTACGATACAAGACGTCATTCTGTAAATACAAGTTACTCCATTCATTGAGATATTTTCTCACAGATTCAGGTTCAAGCGACTTTTGTCGATCCGTAAGTCTATTAACAGCTTGTAAAAGCTGTAACATACGAGCAAGTGAAGGAACACCCTTCTGTTCTTGCTTCCAAAAGACAGCTTTAAAGTGAGTACCAAAGCATGTCTCATCTTTGGGATTCAAGTCTAAAACTTGCTGAGTCAAAGAAACACATTCCATGGCCGGAATCTGACATTGACCTTCTGAATGAGCTTGAAGTAAAGCTTTAACTACATCGGAGAAAAGAATGGTGTTTCTAGTATCAGGGTTAGGTAGTCGAGGTAGTGCATCGGCATCAATGATATGTTTTCCTGCCCTGTATATAATATTGATGTTATAGGTTGATAATGCGGCTAACAATCTATGACTCATGGCGTCTAATTTAGCAGTAGCAAAAACGTAGGTCAGGGGATTATTGTCAGGACGAACTGTAACAGAATTTCCATATACTTCCAGATACTCATGAAATTTGTCACATATTGCCTATTTGAGTGCCAATAACTCTAGCTTGTGTGCTGGATAGTTCAACACAATTGGTCTAAATCCTCTGCTGGCATAAGAAACAACTCGCTCCTTCTCGTCATGGTTTTGGTAAAGAACTGCACAAAGCCCACCTGAACAAGCATCTATATTGAGATTAAACGGCTTGAAGCAACTTACTTTTTGATAAACAATGATGGTTCATAGATAATCACTTGACTAACATGTAAGATATGCTGTCTCATATACTCTATGAAATTCAAGAATTGTGATTTATTTAATTTTAAAATCTTCTCCTGTAAAATTGTGGAAAATGTAATCACTACAGTGTTGCGTTCAGCCCTCGATATGGGTTGACTCTTGCTTAAGATCACGCAGTTGTCTGTTGAACGTTTAATTCCAATTAGTCAGCAGTGAGAGAGCTTAACTGTAGTGTTTCCCAAGGTAGGTGTTTGGGGTCATGGCTATATCTGACCTTTGCTGCCACGATATTTGACATTGTGTCTCCTTCTATTCCCGTGTTGACCAAACGGATAACCAACGCTTTAAGCCACCACCGAAAAACTGTTTACAGTGTACGACATTGAAAAATCCACCATCGACACCAATGAGTAGATGAATGGAAACAAATTGAAAATAAGTAAAATACAAAAACACTGAGTTTATTCTTTATGGAAGCCGTCAGCAACAGGGGTTGGTTTGTGTGGCGGCATGGCCGAGTGGTTAACGCGTCGGACTAGTAATCTCATGATAGCTAGCCTCATGGGTGCAATACCCGTCAGGGACAAATCGTTGTTTCCTTGAGCAAAAACTTTACACTTATTGCTCAGTACTGGTTTGTTCTAGGAACGGATTCGAAAGTGTTTCTTTAAGCCTATAGCTTCCTACACAATCAAACTAAAATAAATTATGTATAAACCAATAGGGTTTAACACACAATAAATTGTAATTGTGATATTAAGATAGAATCGCAACATTGTATAAGATAGCATTGAATTTCTTAAATGAATCTTTAAATCTCAAAGAACATACCAAACGAAACTGCAAAACTGCAATTTTAAGATCAATAGCATCAGGCAGTGTTAATTTCCCAATGCCACTGAACCACTTCTTTAATCTCTTGTTATATCTCACTTGGACTAATGTAACGTGAGATTGTACGGTATTTCGGAAACTGAGTTAACGACGTCTTTGACATTCGACAATACGTTAGTTACTGTGACAATCTTTTTTATAGAGGATTGGTCACGATCCGGGAGATTCTGTTTTCTGATGTTGACCCTTTCATTTACTGGATAATGCCTGTAAGGCTGCTAGGCAATGGCATTTTTTCAACTTACCTGTAACTAAATCCCGAAAGTAAAGTTACATAATTTCTTTTTCAGAAAACACTAATAAGAATTCTCAATTATATGTCTGTAGAGATGAAACACATATTGATATAAGGAGTTATCTCGAAACTATGAAAAATGTCCAAATTGATCAGGCAATATATATTTGTTGATATGACGGTTGATAAAACTTAACTTTACCGCGACTGAATGAAAAGTATCAACATTGCATTGAAAACAACATTATTCCATTTTTCTGTACCTGATTTTATTTATACGGAATTTTTAAAATAAATACCACATGCGATATTACCATTTATCAGAAATTATTTAACGGAAGCCGACGGCGTCTATGACATTCGACAATACGTTACTGTGACAATCTTTTTTATAGAGGATTGGTCACGATCCGGGAGATTCTGTTTTCTGAAGTTGACCCTTTCATTTATGGGATAATGCCTGTAACATATTTTCTTTTTCAGAAAACACTGTCGATTTAAAAACAAAATCTGCAGAGAAATTCCCGAAGGAAGCTGGACCTCTACAAACAAAAGGTAACATTTAATATAAGCTTATATCGAAAACATAAAGCTACCCGTACCAAAAGGAAAGGTTTGCCGCAAACTCGCCGCAACTTTGCCGCAAATTCGCTGCAAACCTTTTAGTTCGCCAAAACACTGTGTCAAGTGTTTGCCAGATATCGCCACTAGTGGCAACTCTGTGGCAAACATTTGGCGACTTTGCGGCGAATTCACCAGAATATTAAGTTGTTCGCCAAAAGTTTGCCAGAAACTTTCAGTGGAAAACTAATTTGCCAGAGATTGCCAGAATCTTTCTATCAAAAAAATTATTCGCTGAAAGTTCACCAGAAACTTTTCTATAAAAACAAGTTTGCCAGATAATCGCCACAAACATATCAGTTCTGAAAGTTAATCCAACTTTGTTCAGTAAATAACTATTTTGCCAAGGAATTATATTATTATGCACATATAAAAAAAGTCCTTCATGTACCTACCTATAACCACGGATTTAAATGTCAATTAAAGTCCGTGCTATAACCTACCTACCTACCTACCCAACCTTATTTTAATGGGTCGGGAAGTGGAAACAAACAATTTTTTATTTTTTGCCTAAGAGTTATCAAATTAAAACATCATATGTATCATGGAGGGTATTGTAGTTCACAATAACAGTTAAAAAATTATAAGGTAGAAGACCCATAATGAAATCGGCAATCTTCGACAATTACCGCCATATCTCGCCATTTATCGTAACGAACTTCGTTTGTTTACGGTCTCCCTAATTACCGACAAGAACCGTCAGGAACCGACAAGAACCGACAAGAAGTAAAAATGGGAAAATACGAATTAATTTCACTTATTAATCATTTAATGATAACAATTCCTAATATTTTTTACATAAAAAACATAATAAATTCGTTCTGAACCATGTTTATAGGCAAATATCTATAACGACAAGAAGTCAGTCTCAGTTTCTCACCGTCAAGAACTCGGCCATGTTCGTATCATTGATATTACATTAAGAATTTGTGTATAAGTGTTTAATCATAATTTTTTTTTATTAAGATGATGTTGTATTATAAATAATAATTATTATGTTAAATGTATTCTAATTCAATTAAGAATATCATCATTAATGAATGACCTTATGAGAATATTCGCGGATACCGACAATTAAGAAAGTTTCATTATTGCTATCAATGGCGTGTTCAAATAATTTATTGTCAGCCTATATTCAATTAATAATTTTAAAACATTTCGTTGTCATTGGTTACAAAATATCCTGCATTTAGGCAGAGGTGTTATATGTCTCTGATTTAGGCAATATTTCTGTACCGACAAGAAATGTGTTCATGTCTACCGACAAGAAATGTTTTCATGCCAACAGTACCGACAAGAAATATTATCATGCTTCATGTTTTCTTTAAAGAGACATTATGTATAGGCAAGATATAACATATTTAATGAAAGTGTTCAGTTAAAGTTGTTTTAAATAATAGTGTTTCATAACTGTATCAAAATATATTTCATATATAAAGTTTTACATACCTGCCAATTAAAATATCCAATTATAATCCATTTACAATTTTTACACAAATACACTGGTAAAGCATGCAACAAGAATATAAGAAATAAAATAAAATAATGGACGAAAACATTAATTCAATTCAATTATTTTATTAGCATATATACATATAACATATTCAGGGCAAATTTTTTTTTTCAAGTACAAATTTCAAAATCGATTGCTCAAACAAAATTGATTGATATTACTCAATTAAAGCTTGTGCGCGTGTGTTTCTCACTCAGTTAGCTTTGAGCGATTTAATTTAATCAAAGCTGTGAAAACTTTAAGCGTGTATTGCGCTTGTTCATAGCAAACGCTTGGGGTGAAAAAGTGCGAAAACAATTTCGAAATGAAAAGCTGTGAAAGAAAGAGATAATTCGTACATTGTATATAAAAAGTAGCAACGAAAGAAAAAATGCCCGTAAGTTTAATGCAGTGTTGTGTTTGTGTACAGTGCATAACTTTTATGAACTTTCACATTTCTGCAACCTCTGGCGCGGCCCAAAAGCCCGTAAGTTCAAAGCAGTGATCTGATCTTAGAACTCAACCTAAACTTGAAACGTATTGTTTACTAAACCAGAGAAATATATTTCTTGTGTTAAGAATGAAAATCATAGAATTAGTTTGGCCAGATTTAGATGCTCTTTACATAACTTACTTATAGAAGAAGGAAGTCATAGAAATATAGAAAGAAACCTTAGAATTTGTACCAAATGTAATATGATCGAATGTCATTGAAAATGAATATCACTTCCTCTTAGTTTGTCCGTTTTATTTAATTTAAAATTAAAAAAAAAAAGTTAAAAATTTCTGCAACCTCTGGCGTGGCGTAACTGCCCTTAAGTTTTATGATAATGGCGAGAATTAAGTCATCATCAATTTCTTCAAAAACTGAAAAAATACAAAAGAAAGATTATATACTTGCTCTTTCTACACTACAGCTCGTTCTCAATTTCTTATTTATTTACAAAAAATATTATAAACATGTTCTACACCGACACTACAGCTCGTTCTCAATTTCTTGTCGGTAAATCTTGTACGCATGATCCCTGTTTTTTTTCTTGTCGGTAATCGATTTGTTAAATATATTTTAAAACTAAATGGAATAAACACAAATTATTTTTCTTATATGCATTAAAATATGAAAGTTTAAAGCCTGAAAAGTTATTTAATTACAAAAAAGATTATATACATGTTCTTTCTACAATACAGCTCGTTCTCGATTTCTTGTCGGTAAATCTTCATTACACAGGATCCCTGGTTTTTTCTTGTCGGTAATCGATTTGTTAAATATATTTTAAAACAAAAAGGTATAAACACAAATATTTTTTCTTATAAGCATTAGAATATGAAAGTTTAAAGTGTTAAAAATTATTAAATTACAAAAAAAGATTAAATACATGTTCTTTCTACAATTCAGCTCGTTCTCAATTTCTTGTCGGTAAATCTTCATTACGCATGATCCCTGTTTTTTTCTTGTCGGTAATCGATTTGTTAAATATATTTTAAAACAAAAAGGTATAAACACAAATATTTTTTTTATAAGCATTAAAATATGAAAGTTTAAAGTGTTAAAAGTTATTAAATTACAAAAAAAGATTATATACATGTTCTTTATACACTACAGCCCGTTCTCAATTTCTTGTCGATAATCTTCATTACGCATGATCCCTGTTTTTTTCTTGTCGGTTGCATATACATTCATGTAATGTCATGAAAAACTGATTTATGACTACAAATAAGGTTGAAACATGTTCATAAGATATTCTGACCACAACTTTTGCAACTGTTTATATTACTTATATCATATTGAAAATAACAAATCTTTCGTGTCGGCGTCAACGTAACAGTAACAGTACGCGTTGCACTCGAATTTTTCTTGTCGGTACGCATATATTTAATATTCTATAAAAATACAAGAAAATCCTTATCAAATATGAAAAATATATATGCCCTGCATGTTTAACAATCATAAAAACACATTTGTGCGTGTTTATTTGTAATATATAGGCTCTTGTCGGTTCCTGACGGTTCTTGTCGGTAATTAGGGAGACCCTTTGTTTACGTATAAAGTCGGAATTCTAATAATAGCGACTTATTCACGTGGTAGTATTCCCCAAGAAAATGACGTAATTTCCGCAGATATCTAACATGGCGTCTTACAGCGTGATACGCTCGGTCTATTCAAAAAAAGTGTAAAAAGATGCAGAAAACTCAAGTATTCCGACTTTATTATAGAACATAACTATAGTGCAGGTAACCAGTATTACGTGTCAACCAAACCAGCTCTACAAGACATCAACTCTTCCTAAATCGGTTGATAATGAGGGTTGGAAAGAGGGAAGAAGAATCGTTGAGTTTGGCGTGTTACGGTCAAACCTAAGATTTTGTAAAAAATGTAGACTTGGACCAGTTGGCTACCATTAACAGCACTGATTAACTTTTGACAACATGTTAGGTGAATTTAAACAGGGAGTGTCTGGTTATTTGTATGTGAAATGTCGAAACACAGAATGCGGTCATGTGAATTGTGTTCCCTATGGAAAAACACACAGACTCTAGTAGATTGAAGACCTGTGAAAGTTGGAATGCCATGTTTCGTTGTCAACACAAAATTAGGAACAGGTAAGTGATTAATGTATTGCATCATAGTTTACATTAAGTACTAGATCTATATACTGATAATGAATTCATAGATGTAATGTCTCATACCAAAATGAATATATCGATACATTATGATTTATCAGTGTTTATTTACTTGTCTTCCAATGATGTCAAACATGTAAAATTATGCGGACCAAATTTATGTTTCAGATTTATAAATAATTAATTTATTATACAGAATACATGTATCTTGTTTGTGTTTAGCTGTAAATTATTGTGAAAGAAGTGGCTAGCCATACGGCTAGCCAAAAGTTCTAGCCGTACTCGACTCACATACTCCATATAATTTTGAAAAGTGCCGTACGGCTAGCCAATACAGTGTGTCCTGGCTAGTCGTACGTGACTCGCGTACGGCTAGAACTTTTGGCTAGCCGTACGGCTAGCCACTTCCTATTGTGAAATGTTTTATAAACTTCCCTCTGAACTGTTTTAATTTCCCCAAAGTCACTGAGAAATTTGAAAAACAAATGATAAAACGTTGCTAAATTAAATCTTGCAACAATGCAATTTTTAGTAAGACATTACAGAATCCTACATGTACATTATATAAAAAACACAGTTTACACTAGGCTGCCAATACACACAGTCACAGTAGTACTAATATTCAACGTACATGAGGCAGCTAAAAATAGCTCTATATTAATTTATGCAATGTGTTATTATCAGGGTTATGTAAATTACAATCCATGTGAAGTTTTTTTTTGACAAAATATTTGTATACTTTAATGAAATAATTTGTTTCTTTCATTTTCTTACAGCAATGATTGATAGTGTAGGTGGGCCGGTGAGGGTCAACAATTTG